TAGGAAATCATTGAATTATTTTTATTTTATTAAGATTATTATAATTATTATAACCTGGAATTTGAATAAGATTGTATCAAGTAAATTTATTAACACAAAAACTTATACATTTTTGTATTTTAATTGGTTGCTTGACATTTCTTTAAATAGATTTGACATACTAATTCATATTTTTTGAGTGTTATGTTAAAATTTATTGATTTAGCCCAAATTTTTTGTTCCAAATTTTAAAACTATTTTATTTATAAACATATTTTTTTCTTGTCCAAATCCAAGTAAATTGATTTATTAACTGAACTGAAAATCTTAAATTTCAAGAATTAATTCAACGAAGTTCTCTAATCAAGCAAAATATGACTAGAACTTATATTAGAAATTTAGAAGTTTACAGTTTTTATAGTGAAAAATTTAGTCTTTGTTTAGTGGAAGATCTAATAGTATTTTTCAGAGGTAAAAACAAAGATTCGTTTAACGAAGTAAGAACATGATCCGTTAAACGAGGTTTGACTGTACTAGATGTATGTGTAAATTCATTGACTTTGAAAAAATGTGTAACAATTTAAGTAATAAAATGAGTTACTTTGAGCAAAAATGCTAAAAAATACATGTAAATTCATTTACTTTTCTTGTAAATTGAAAAATGTCATAGTAATTTTTCACATAATTTTTCAAGTAATCTAATTTAAAGCATTAATTTGATACATCGTCGTGAGTTTAATTAGATTAAAACCCAGTAAGCTTACTGACGGCGGCAAATTGATAAACTAGGTAATCAATCCGACGTCTTCATATGGGCTTAAACTAGTTAAAGGCTTATCCTTTATAGATTGCAGCCATCTACAGCGTCTTGATCTAGTTTTCGTTTTGGTTTTTGATCGAATCCGTGTGAAACTTAAAACTGTATTTCGAATCTATTTTTCGATACCCAGTTGTGCACGAGATGGATGAATAGTCAGATTATCGATGTGTATCTTAAAAGATGAATGATCTTGCGGTATTTCACTACAATCCAGTGCAATATCGATTGATGGATATAGTGAAATCAAGTATTTATAATCATTAATTCCATAAAATATGATTATTTATTACTAACCTAATTTTATATCAAAAAACATCATTTTTCCTCTATAAATTATAAATATCTATAACTGTTTATTTTTTACCGAAACGTTACACTTAATAAGTAAAATATAATATGCAATATATCATGTATGTAACTGTCATTACGTTACTTATATAAGCATTATCCGGTTTCTAGTTAGACCGTGAGTCTAGACGAGTCTCGAAAAACAAACTAACCAATACTAATTATTAATATAAATACTCTTCGTCGTTGCAAGCTTAAGTAATTAATGTTGTGGGAACGCACCAAGAAAAGTCTTAAGACCATGCACGTTTTTCCCCTCAAATGTCAATAATTACCAATGATAATCTTTGCATGAACTTCGAAGTATATGTAAAATCTTTATTTATATAACTATAATTTCATGCTTGAACTATTAATTGCAAATATTTGATTACCAGAATCATCATCATCTCCACGTGTATACATATTTTTTTTCTATTTGTTATTACGTAAGCGGTTATAAATTCCGCCAACTGAAATTATCGTTTTAACAAAAATTAATCATTTTTTATTTCAATGCGCAACAATAACATTGTTATTACGTAAGTGGTTATAAATAATAGATAAAAATACACATTCTACTATTTCGAAAATGTTATTATTTAAATACACATAAATTCATACTAGTAATGTGAATAGACATTTGTTTTGGATACTAAAATCATCTTTGATGTATATTTTTTTGTTTAGTTTCTTTTATTTATTACGTAACTCAAGATGAATCATTGCTTATTGAGTTTTTTAATACCTATTAAGGAAAGTTTTTAACACACTGAACTGAAAGATAAAATAACAATAAATATAGAATTTTACGTTTATAAATGTAATTAAATTTATCCACTAACGTAATTATTCAATACAACAGTTTTTTTTTCAATATTGCAGACAATATTAAACTAGATAGTTTTACATGATTAAAACTAAATAAACAAGGAATATAATTTGTATAAAATGGGTTTAAATTATATTATAAATAATTCAATCAAAACTAATTAGAAGTTCGTTAAATTGAAAATTAAGTTAATTTAAAGTTATGAAATAATTGTTTCTTTTTTACATTATTAGTATTATGCAACTTTAAGAAACTACAAGCAGGAACTTCAATACAAGTGTTAATAGTCAGATATTTCTGTGACATTTCAAACTATTGAATTTTCTTTTAAGATTTGATTAACACTTGCATTGTAATTTGATGATGATGTAACTAAAGGATATTATTGTCAGGTGTTATTCAATTATCAACTGTGAGATATTTGACTAAATTTTCATAAAGAATAGAATTGAATAATTTATGATCGATTAACTAACCTAAATTATTTCAGTTTTGATCTGAAATGAAATGAAAACCAGGTTTTTTTAATATTTATAAAGTTTGTAGTAATAGAAAACGGTACTATTGTAAAAGACTAAAGTATAATTATTTTTTTTATGTATTTGATTATATCTCCAATATATTTTAATTAATTTAAACATATTTATTGGACAAAATAAATTTATAATTTTTTATTAGTTAAAACCAAATGCGAATTTGGCGCAAATTAAGAATTATTAGTAATAAATAAATTATTAAATTTGTCAAAATCTAATTATTACTACTATAAACTGAGAGCTGTTATTGTTTATAGTAACTATGGTAGATTCCACTGTGAAGAATGCTGCTATAGGAAATTATTTATTCCTATATAATGTTACATGCCAGAAATGAAATAGTCTTGTTTTCGCGTCGTTTTTCGTACCTGAACGACGACTGTATTAAATTACAAAACTGTAAAACTTTAACGACAATTGTTTTGTTTTATGTACATTTGACGAATCGAAACCGGACGACCTTCCATTCACTAAATTAATACAACATAAATAAATAAATATATTTAAAGTGCAAGCAGGTAACTATGCACGTTATTTCATTGCATTTTATTTATTTTTTCGTAGATTGTTTGTTCGCATTAACGAGTTTGCGTCGAACCCAATTTGGTCCGCATTTTCAGGTCTACATACGCAAAGGCAACAATGGTCGAACGCTCCACAAAGACCTTTGTTTTCACTGCAAATAAATCGAAACTGAAAAGGTCATTTTCGGTTATACAACGCTCAACGATCTAACGAATTGCGTTTCTCAATTACGTACCTGCACTCAATTTCCAGACCACATACAAACCTTTCGAAAGTGGAATAATTCAACAATATTATCTTGATCTCGGCTTGTTTGTTTCATGCGGCATAACGTTTTTATATGCAAAATGTGCGATTATATTTTGTAATTTGCAAATCGTTTCACCTATGACACTTTCAAACACATTCAAATTTTGTACATACTAACTTTGTATAAACTAGCTTTTTATATTTCAATAAACCATTCGTAAATCGACGTGCAAATTGCTAATATTAAATAAAATATTATAAATAAACAACAAGCGCCTTCTAAATGTACATTGGAACCTCGCTTAACGAGTTTAATCCGTTCCAAAATTTACGGATTTTTACACGTATTTACAGTGATTTCAAAAATGCACATAATATGTGTACACAGGAACTTCTCTTCTCATCGTCACTCATTATGCGAAACGGGGCTCGTTAAGCGAGTCATTTTTCTTACAACTCATTTTGCTCGTTATGCGAGGTGCTCGTTAAGCGAGGTTACAATATAGCGAGGTTCCACGGTAAATCATTCATAAATTGAATTTTGAAGTCTTTATTTAATTTTAAATCAAATACTTTCCAATGCTTTAAATAATTATTAAACACATTCTAACTTAAGATATAAACAGGATTTAATAACAAAATTGTTGCATAACGTTAAATAAATCAAAATCATAAATATTACGATAATATTAATAAATTATTAAATTTTTCAAAGTAATTTCAATAAAATATTCGTATATTGACTTGCAAATAGCTTTATTTATTATAAATTAAGTTCTTGCAATTTTATAGATATAAATCAAATAATATCTCAATTTATATAAAAACTAGGTATAATAAAATATTTATTGCAAAACGTTGAAAGAAACCATTGTAATAAATAATGTTTATTATAAATATGTGTAATTTATTGAGTTCTGAAAAGTAATCTCAATAAAGCATTCGTAATAAATTATTTGCATATTTTATTTAAATTTGTATGAAAACTAGATATGATAAAAATATTTGTTACAAAACGTTTAAAGAAATCAACATTATAATAATGTGATTTATCGAAGAGTTCTGCATATTTATTCTATCTTTGTAAATTAGATGTAAATATTTTAGTACATTAAAAAGAATTTGTTTCAAAGTATTTTTTTTTCAAAGTAATTTTGGGAAAAGATTTATTATTTGGCTTCAAATAGTTTTATTTATTTAGATATTTTAATGTAGTAGATATTTATGTTCGAAACATTTATAATATTTGCAATTTTTTAAAGAAATCAATAAAAATATCGAAAATATTTTAAACCAGTCAGTTTTATATACATTTCTATAAATTCATTAAATTTTAGATAGTATACTTTAAATGTATTAGATAAACAACATATCGATTAATCTAAGTGCTTCGTAAAATACTTATTTTCAATAAGTCTTGAGGCAATAAGCTTTCAGCAATTTGCGAGTCTCCAAGTCTCCAGCATCGCATTTGATTGACTTGTTTACGTGTGTCTGGCTAATGCAATGTGACTAAACGAAAGGTTTATGCGAGGGTTATCTCATAAAATATCTCGACTTAATGATTCATTCTCTTTAACACTCAATAATATTAAAATGCAGAAAGTTTATTCAAGAAATGTATGCATTATTAAAAAAAAACATAAGTCATTTCCAGTAATAATAATACCAATTACATAACGATTTTAAATTGATCTCACGAATTTATATTAATATTTGTACTTTGTTGCAGGATTTCATCAGAAGACCAATTGATATAATAATAAAGGAGAGCGAACAAAATCTACGCCCAGACGTCAAGTTTAACAGGATTTTATATAGAGGTAAGAAAGAATTTCATTTACACCCATACGTTTTTTTTCTCTCTTTCTTTTTCTCTCGTTTCATTTATCCACAACTTCATTTGTGGACAATTTGAATAAATTCTTTGCATGCCGATCTAATAAACGCCAACCGTATTTACGCTCGCATAAAATAAACTCATTTTATATTTATATTATTTATATAGTATGCAATTTGGTAAATGATGTATAACATATAGAAAATATTTCTCTGCAACCTTCAATCATACAGGAATTTTGCAATTACCACTAATATTTCTTGTGCAAATACTTGTATAATATATTAACAAAATACGTTATTATTTATAACTAGCTTGAAACTACCATCACACAAGTCAGCTATTTTTATTAAATTTAAAATAATTATACATACAGCAATATATCTTATTGTGCTGCTTTGATTAGTCCGGATTCACTACAGTCCGGTTTAAATATTTAAAATAATAATAATTTTTTATCGTTTTTCAGTCAAATCTTTATTTGAGCATTAATTTTTGTATGAATTTAGTTTCTTGATTAGTCCGGTTTCAAACAGTCCTGAACCGATTACCCGCACTATGCGAGGTATTGCTTTAGTTTGAAAACATAATACAATTATTCGCCTTTAAAAATTGAAAGTTTTACTTTTGTCATGAGACTTGAACTATTTTTGTACGTGATTTATATATTAAATAATTGATTACACACCTACGTTGAAAAGTGAAGTATTTGACATTGATAGATTTAAAAAAAAGCCACCTTTTATTATATTTACATATGTTTCAAATTATCTAAATAAAATTTATAATAAGGAAATAAGTAAGAAAAATGAAAAATAAGTACAAAAAATAAAATAGTTCAGACTTCTTGAGCTTATACACATATGATTATTCGTAGATAATCTATATCCAAATGTTTGAAAAATATTTTTTTAATTCTCTTAATCTCTAATCAATTTAATTTAGTTTAAAACCTTTATGTTAATTATTTTTTTGCAATATTTATTGTTCGTCATTAGTCAATATATTAGAAGACTATTAATTATTCATATTGACTAATAAGTTAATTAATTTTCAACCCACAGTATAAATTTTGTACGATATTTTGATTGTTGTTGAATAAACACTTCAGAGACTGTTAAGGTCAAGAAGCAGGTAGCATTTGGTACACACGCTAAAAAAATGAAATCCTGTTTATTTATTTAACACTATACACATTTTCTATTTATTTTTAATTATTAAAAACTTGAATTATGAAGTTTATTTGTGAGTTTCTTACTTGGTTAAATGTTTTTTTTTTTAAATGAGAAGAATATGATTTTATTTCAAAAGTATTAATTAATTAAAATAAGACTTGAACCAATGGTCAAAATTATGTCGAGAAAAATGTTTAAACAAAATATATATTATTAATTTATTTCTTATTAAAAACAAGAAACACAAAATATTTATGCTTATTAATATAAAATTATGGTATCAGAGGTGATCAGAACTTGACATTAATGATGATGCAACTGATGATCTTAAAAGTACACGATATTTTTTTTTATTATAACGAATGATAATAAGGAATAACGTAAAACGAAACACAGAATTTGATCCTTTCACTTGAGTGAGTAATGCAAAAAGTCCAAGAGGCACGGAGAGCCTCACTCGCATAATAGTTCAATATATTATTTATTTATGTATTTATAACCAAGGTGAGGGCGTTTAACCTTTATGTCATTTCAATAAAACCAAGGATAAGCCTGTGTGGGACAACTGCGATACAGTTACATTCACTTCTCTCCCATCTAAAGCCACGAGACCAACACTCAAACCGTTTTTGCACTGTTTTTTTTCGATTTTGTTTTCGCACTTATGGAAACATTCTCCGCGGACGTACAGTTAGTTATTAATATGCACCGATACCGGTTGAAAAATCGCAAGAAAATATTGATCAACCTCCAACATCTCATGTCTGTTATATTGATTGCATTACGATTACAGTTGCATCTCCTTTCCTTTTCATAAATACAAATATATACGAAATAAACACTACAAGTGAATATAAGAAACGTTGTAGTAATTTATCATAAATAAAGCTCTATATTAATTGTATTTATTTAGATTAGATTAGGATTATAGTCACATCTTCTTTTTTTTATATACCATGGGGCTCACATTGGTGGCTATGTTGCAAAATTCATTTCATTCGTAAAAATAGCGATTGTGAATCTACGTGCACTCTTTGCTACCAAAAGGTTGCCGACCCATGCTATATACTAAAACATTGATAATAAGTAAATAATATAATTCTTGAATCCAGTTTAAATACAAAGGTAATAAAAAACTATTAATAATAGATAAATACTAGGAGGGAACATAAACGATCGTCGTAGCAAAATACCATAAGTAAAGCTATGCCTGTATGAGTAATATCAATTATCCATTATATAATTTTATTGGCGGAAAGAGCTCTGATCTACAACAATTAACGTCGCAATAAATATTACTTTTACTTTAATTAATTGTGTGTAAATCCGTTTCTGGTTCGATTATATAATTTCATCGATTATTAATTGAGAACTACAACTAAAATATTAGAAAATTAATTCATATTCTGATTTACATTTTAATTTTAGGGAAATTTTGTCGGGTTCAAAATATTTTTTACTGCATTAAGATGTTTTAAATATTAGAATATATGGATTTCAACTATAGTTAAACTGTGTTTTGTTCGAGATGAATATTTATGTAAATCAGCTGCTGTTAATACGTTTTCACCTATTCAATGACTCTTTAAATCAATCATGTTCGAAGTATGTACATGCATTTGTACCACGTCTTCAAATGACACATATCTTGTTGCTGTCACTAGTTGCGTACTATTTCTTATTTCATTTCATGCTGATTTCCCTCTGCGATTTACTATTATTATTGTTTTTTCACATGACTAAGTCTATTTTAAGATCAGTAACTTCTATAAACAATTAATCATATCTTATTATACACAATAAAAACTATTGTGAACAACATATGTTTTCTAATTTGTTTTGAAACTATTCATTTAACTTTAACTTCCACTTTTTTTCGTTTACTTATTTTAGTCTATTTAATTATTTATGATCATGTAAAACTAATTATTTCTTCAGTTTTTTTTTGTATATATAAATATTCAATTAGGTAAATTCTGTCTTACGATGTTTCTTTTTTAAAACTTAAATTTAATTTGTGATATGTGGACTTTACAAAAAAACATATATTTATATTCAGAAGGGTTATATTTTGAATAATGTTTTTTTTTTCAACTAAATTATTACCTGCTTTAAGAATTTTGGTAACAAAGTACGTGAGGATGTTAACGGAATACCATTATTAAACCAGATTCATATCCAAATATGGAGTATTTCTCATATAAATCATCACTTCTTTAAAACCCTGAACATGATTCAAAAATTTTAATGCATGGAATTTTCTCCATCAAAATATCAAAAAAAAAAGAAATGTATAAAGAATGTTACTTTTATGATTTTGTTGTTTAATAATTTTATGTATAAAGTACAATTTTTAATTAGAAATATTTTTATTTTATTGAAGGAAATAATAAATTATTCTATAAATTCTTCAATTTAGTTAATAAAGTAAATTTTATTGTTACCGTAAAATACAAATATAATTGGTTTTCAGAAATATATTTAACAAATTTTATTTTTGATTTGTATAAATATAAATCTCTAGATATAAATAATGGAAGATTGTAGTTCGAAATGAGAACATGAAACCTTGACAACCAACTTACGTGAGGACACGTCCTTAGACACAAACTCACACAAAAAATATATCGATGCTTATCTTCTGAGAAAACTCACTAACGAAAACTTTACCTCTCTTTTGTAACAAATGCGTGCGATACAAATCTGATCCAAATTAGGCATTTTTTTGTGAAATGATGAATGGTATGAATGTATGAAAAAGTTGTTGGATAATTGTATAACAGATGTATGGAGATAAGAAACTATGATCACTGCGGCTATGTTGTGCGAACGATCTTTTCATTATTGTATAGGAAATAGGAACGGAAAGATATATGTGTGTACGTATTCGTTCCGTTCATTGTTCCAAATCCATATCCAAACACAACAAATCCTTTCGCAATCCACTTATGTCAGATTATAAATCATAATTTATTCCGCTTCGAGTTTATAGATCCGACAACAATAACAATTTAAAAGTGGAGTAAGTTTAAAAAATGTTCTTAAGCTATTTTCGAGTATTAATGGTTCGTAGAAAGTCTCGATAATTCGAGTCAATTTTGGAATTCAATAGAAGAAATTCCAAGTTTTAAAAGGGAATGTCTTGAAAGAATGTAGATCAATTACTTATTTCTTAAGTTATTTCTTTCACTCATTTTCTTTATAAGTATAACATTAATGATTACAATAAATTACTATTATTAATTATAATACAATATTATTTATCTATAACTATTTTTTCCTAATTGTTCACCTTGTACACAAAGTAAACCCTTATCTAAAAATGTATAAATTGGATTTTTTTTATTGAAATTAACAATAGATCTTTTGGAATTTTGATTCTGATCTACTAAAGAACAAAGGACGCAAAGTGATCAAGGTTTTGATTCAAATTTCAAGGCCAGAGATGAAAATCTGTGAACTGTCTAAAGGATTGTTACAACTCGTATTATTTATCTTTATTCCAAGGCAATGTTGTTCAGGAATAATACAAATCTTATCTACAGATTGATGTAAAGTCATTAATTGGATTTAAACCAGTTTTTGAACAACATAAATGTTTATTTACCTTTTCCTCTCTGAATATAATATGAATATATTATTCATAGTAAGAAAGGATACAATTACGTGTTTTATCTTAAAGTAGACTTAAGTTATCTTCAGTTGAGTTGACTTTAGTAAAGTCATCTTATGTTAAGTCTACTTAAATTAAATCAAATTCAGTTAAGATGACTTAAATTAAGTTATCTTAAGTTAAGTTTTCTTAAAT